TAAAAGGATTATTTAACAAGAAGGAGGTGGTTCACCTTTCGGTTTGTAAATAAAGTGTCTACAAGGTCTTTATCTGCTTTCTGTCAGCATTTATATTAAATGATAAATTAATGAAGAGAAACATGTGGTCTGGGTTTTTTCCTCCATAGTGGATCCGTGCCGTCTTATTCTCAGACCTTTTATTTATTTATTTATTTTTTTGGGAGGTCACAACCGGTGATGCATAGGGGTTACTCCTGGCTCTGCACTCAGGAGTCACTCCTGGCAGTGCTCGGGGGACCATATGGGATGCTGGGAATCAAACCCAGGTCAGCCACATGCAAGGCAAACGCCCTACCCACTCTGCTTCATCCCCTCTCAGACCTCTTAATGGAGCTTTTCTATTTTTTTAGGTGAAAAATAGAGAAGAAGGGGCTGGAGCAATAGCACAGCGAGTGGGGTGTTTGCCTTGCATGCGGCCGACCCGGGTTCAATTCCCAGCATCCCATATGGTCCCCTGGGCACTGCCAGGACTGATTCCTGAGTGAAGAGCCAGGAGTAACCCCTGTGCTTCACTGGGTGTGACCCAAAAAAGCAAAAAACAAAAAAAAATAGAGAAGTAGATGGATCAGGAGAGTTAGCAGCGGGAAAGGCATTAGCCTTGGACACAGCCGGCCCAGGTTCGATCCCCCAACACTGCTCTTGGTCCCCTGAGCACCCCTGGGTGTGACCCAAAAGTTAACGACAACCAAAAAAATAGTAGATAATGTGTAAAAAACCACACTCATTAGCAAATTTTGAAGTAATACAACCAAAGTCCACTGCAATCCAAATTCCTTTCTTCAGTATAGTAACACCCGGTAAAACACTGGGTGTGACCCGAAAAGCAAAAAAAAAAAAAAGATAATTCCACCACTGCCATGAAATTTGAAAAAAAAAAATCTTCATTTATAACCAAGTTGTTCTTACCAGACTCAACAAAAACTTTTTTTTTTTTTTTTTTTTTGCTTTTTTGGGTCACACCTGGTGATGCACAGGAGTTACTCCTGGTTCATGCACTCAGGAATCACTCCTGGTGGTGCTCAGGGGACCCTATGGGATGCTGGGAATCGAACCCGGGTCGGCCGCGTGCAAGGCAAACAAACGCCCTACCCACTGTGCTATTGCTCCAGCCCCTTAATAAAAATTCTTGTTGGTATTATCCACTACCCACTTTGTATCAGATTTCCCTAATTCTGTATAGAAGTCTATATACACTAGGCTGTTGGAATCCGGATCCAAACAAAGTCTACGGATGTTGGATTTAGTTGATGAATCTCTTAAGGTTTCCCTGCACCACCTCCCCACTTTTATTTTGGTGCTGGACAACAAACCCAGAGTCTTATGCATGGCAAGAAAGTACTCTACACTGAGGGGGCTGGAGCAATAGCACAGCGGGTAGGACGTTTGCCTTGCACGCGGGCAACCCGGGTTCGATTCCCAGCATCCCATAGGGTCCCCTGAGCCCTGCCAGGGGTGATTCCTGAGTGCAGAGCCAGGAGTAACCCCTGTGCATCGCCAGGTGTGACCCAAAAAGCAAATAAATAAAGTACTCTACACTGAGAAAAGCCAACCTGGGTGGGTGTTTTACTCTCTCTTTGCAAGGAACAACAAACAGCTAAGGATTTTAGCATAATTAGGAAAAGTCAGTGAGAACAGTAAAGTAAAAACATTTTGCATCAGAAAAATGCCCAAAACTAGTTCATGGTATTTTAGCATAAAGCCAAGTCTTGGTTTTGAAAGAAAACATAAAACCCAAAACTTGGGGTGTTAGCCGTTGAAGACCAGCTTAGGGTCTCAGAACCATCATCTTTTGTTTTGCTTTTTGGGTCACACCCAGCAATGCTCAGGGGTCACTCCTGGCTCTGCACTCAGCCATTACTCCTGGCGGGGCTTGGGGGACCCTATGGGAACTCGGATCGGCCAGGTGCAAGGCAAGCGCCGCTCCAGCCCCCAGTGGTGGAATTATCTTTAAAACAACCTTTTAAAAAAAAAAAAAACACCTTTAAAATATGGGGCTGGAGTGATAGTACCGCAGGGAGGGTGTTTGCCTTGCACACGGCTGACCCAGGTTTGATTCCCAGCATCCCATATGGTCCCCCGATCACCGCCAGGAGCAATTCCTGAGTGGATGAGCCAGGAGGAGCCCCTGAGCATCGCTGGGTGTGACCCAAAAAGCAAAAAATAATAATTCCATTTGGGGGCCAGAGAGATCATACAGTGCATAGAGCCTTGCATGTGGCCAGCCCTGCAACCCCATCCCAGGTTTGCGGGGGAAAAAATAATCCATTTTTAGGGAAACCTAGTCATTTCCATTCACCATCACATTCATGCTCCCCCAAACCTGCGTTTCTGTGACAGGCTAAGCCCCCTCTGACGTTGCTGCCCCTGACTGCCCCATATCAGCATCTCACTCCGTTTTAGGGTGGCTTTTTTTTTTTTCTTTTTTCTCTTTTTATTTATTTTTTTTATTGAATCTCCGTGAGCTAAAGTTACAAAGCTTTTATGGTTGAGTTTCAGTCATACAGTGATAGAACACCCATCCCTCCCCCAGGGCACATTCTCCACCATCAAGTCCCCAGTGTTCCCCCCTCCATCCCACCCCTCCCCCTGCCTCCATGGCTGACAGTTTCCCCCAGACTCTTCTTTTGGGCATGATGGTCTAATAGAGGTACTGAGAGGCCGTCATCACATTTGGTCCTTTATTTATTTATTTATTTTTGCCTTTTGGGTCACACCTGGCAATGCACTGGGGTTAGTCCTGGCTCGTGCACTCAGGAATCATTCCTGGCGTTGCTCGTTGGGGGGGCCCTATGGGATGCTGGGAACCGAACCCGGGTCAGCCGCGTGCAAGGCAAACGCCCTCCCCGCTGTGCTATTGCTCCAGCCACTACCCCCACTTTGGTCCTTCATCTACTTCCAGCACACGTCTCCCATCCCAAGTGATCCCTCCAACCATCATTGCCTTTGGCCACACCCAGTGTTCCTCGGGACTTTCTCCAGGCAGTGGGCTCAGGAATCTGGTCTGGTGGTGGGTGCCGGGAAGGGAATCAAACCCGGGCCGACTGGCTGCTGTGCTCTCTCCCCACTGTGTTTCCTTCCTGAATCCTCTGAGCTGGACCCCAGCCTGGGCCCTGCCTCTGCCTGTGACCCCCAGACCAAGCTGCACCCCTGAAACAGGTTCCTAACGCTGTTCTGACTGGTCAGCCTGTCCCTTCTCTGCATCGGTCACTTGGTCCTCAAGCCAGCGTTTATTAAAGGCACCGAGACACATTCATTCCTGGACCTCACTTCCGCCCCAGCCTTCAAGTGAGCTTGGTCCTGTTTGCTCCATCAGAGTTAGATAAAGCTCCAGGCATCTTCCCCGACAGGAAGGGACTGATGGCCGTCCTGAGCCTTGGGCTTGAGTCTCTCACTCTCACTGTCCTCTGTCCTCCCGTTGTTCATCGATTTGCTCGAGTGGGCGCCAGTAACGTCTCCATGGTGAGACTTGTTGTGACTGTGTTTGGCATATCCAATACATCACGGGGAGCTTGCCAGGCTCTGCCGTGCGGGCGAGATACTCTTGGTATCTTGCTGGGCTTTCCAAGAGGCGCAGAGGAATCGAACCCGGGTCGGCCGGGTCGGCCACGTGCAGGGCTTGAGTCTAAGTTTGGTTTTTGTTTTTAGTTTGGGGGTCACACCTGGCGGTGCTCAGGGCTGACTCCTGGCTCTGTGCTCAGGAATCACTCCTGGCAGGGCTCAGGGACCCTAAGGGATGCCGGGATCGAACCCCCGTTGGCTGCATGCAAGACCAACACCTTCCAGCTGGTCCTCTTTAGGCTTATTGTCTTTCTTATCCTGCTCACCCTATCTTTCCCAGAAGTTTCTCTCACCCCCTCTGTCTCTGCTCTTTCTCTTCTTCTCTCTCTATCATGCTCCCTCTCCATCTGCGATTCCCTGAAGAAATGTGGAAGCTCGATCATTGTATAACTGAAACCCAAGCATGAAAGTTTGTAAGTCTACAGCTATACCTCATGGTGTTTCACTAATAATAATAATAATAATAGCACTGTAGCTCTGTCCTCCCATTGTTCATCGATTTGCTCGAGCGGGCCCAGTAACGTCTCCATTGGAGACTTTGTTGTTACTGTGTCTGGCATATCGGATACTCTTGGGAGCTTGCCGGGCTCTCCGAGAGGGGCGGAGGAATCGAACTCGGGTCGGCCATGTTGGCTGCGTGCAAGGCAGACGCCCTACCGCTGTGCTATCACTCCAACCCTATAATAATAAATTAAAAAAAAAAAAGGAAATGTGGAGGCGATTTTCCTGTGCAGTTCTCTCCTGCTCAACATCTGAACTATCCCCTGCTTCTGCTCATGCGAGACGGGTCGATTCCCTGGAGCAATTAGTCTATTCTTTTCTTTTTTTTTAATCTTTTTGGGTCACACCAGCGATGCACAGGGGTTCCTCCTGGCTCTGCACTCAGAAATCACTCCTGGCGGTGCTCAGGGGACCCTATGGGATGCTGGGAATCGAACCTGGGTCGGCCGCGTGCCAGGCAAACGCCCTCCCCACTGGGCTATCACTCCAGCTCCCGTTAGTCTTTTCAAGTTACTCTTTGATCAGTTTTACTGGTGGGGGGGAGGGTTTGGAAGCAGTGGAGGGTATCAGGAACTATTTCCAGTTGTTCAGGAGTGATCCCTGAAAGCACTGGGGGTGGGGGGTAGGCTGGTGACTTCCGCCCCATGCGATTATCTGGTAGTACAAGTAATGCTATCAAGGAGAAAACTTGATCGTTTCCACCTTCTGTTGGAGAGGAATGTCCAAACTATTTTTCCCAGTTGTAAGTCAGCAATTTACTTGGAATCTGGGTTTCTTCAAACACAAATATTTATCGAGTCCCGGGCACATTCATGACCCAGTGCTGCGTGCACTGGCGATGTTCAATAAATATTTGTGGCTTTGATTTTGGCCTCCCTGGAAGCAACACTGAACTTTATAACAGTTGGGAGAGTGGGGAGGCGTTCTCACGACGCGCTCGGAACCGAGTCTACTTGGAAGTTCCCGAGAGAGAATCCAAGTTCCCTTTGGAGCATGTCGGTGTCAGACTCATAACCGCCTGACAAACTGGGAATCCCGAGACGGTGGGACCCGGTGTGTGTGTGTGTGTGTGTGTGTGTGTGTGTGTGTGTGTGTGTATGCAGAGCCTTGGCAGTTCCTGCGGGCAGGTGAAGTTCTGAGTTACTCAGTGACACAGGGGAGAGCCAGTATTTGTTCCTGTGAAGGACTTATTTTGTGGACCTACAGAAGAGAACCGCCCAGAAGACGAGGCCAAGGCCAGTCCTGGTGGGGTCACCCGCACGGCCCAGTCACCCCCAAGACTAGAGGCGGCCTGGAGACCGGCAGGAAGTGGCTAGCACACGCTGGCGCCCGCCGTGCAATTTGCAGTGTTCATTTAACTGCATTGAGTGTGAGCCACCAGTAGTTCACCCAACATTGATGTATTAAGCACTACTGAGGGCTCTTTTTACATATATTTTTGGGTTGGAGGCCACACTCGGCATTGCTCAGGGGCTACTCTTGGCTCTGTGCTCAGGGGTCATCCTGGCAGTGCTCAGGGGGCCCTATGGCATAGGAGGATCGAACCCGGGTCGGCCACATGCAAGGGCAGTGCCCTCCCTGCTGTGCTGTCGCCCGGCCCCACACTGAGGTTCTTAGATGTTCTGTTTTCTTGGGCCTCAACCCTCCCTGGCCCAGCGGCCCCCCACAGGGACCCCCTTGTGACACATGCGGCTAAGAGCCCAGAGCTGGCACGTCCTCTCTGGCTGCTGTTTCTTTGAAGGTCCTTAAGTGCTTCCCCCAAACTGGGGCTCGAACCCAGGATCTCACACCCAGAGCAAGTGTCCAACCACTGAGTGGCAGCTCTGGACCCACTGTGACCGCAATCCCGGACTCTTTCCCCAGAGAGAGAGAGAGAGAGAGAGAGAGAGAGAGAGGGAGAGAGAGAGGGAGGCCAGAGGGGGGATGGGGATTTAGGCTCCTGCTTTGCACCCATTCCCTGACACATGGGAAAGACCCCCAGTGGGAGGAAGGAAAGAGGGAGGGAGGGACGGAGGGAGGGAAGGAAGGAAGGAAGGAAGGAAGGAAGGAAGGAAGGAGGAGCAGGAGGAGGGAAGAAGGAAGGAAGGAAGGAAGGAAGGAAGGAAGGAAGGAAGGGAAGGGAAGGGAGGAGGGAAGAAGGAAGGAAGGAAGGAAAGGGAAGGAAGGAGGGAAGAGGGAAGGAAGAAGGGAAGAAGGAAGGAAGGAAGGAAGGGAGGGAGGGAAGGAAGGAAGGAAGGAAGGAAGGAGGGAGGGAAGGAAGGAAGGAAGGAAGGAAGAGAAGGGAGGAGGGAAGAAGGAAGGAAGGAAAGGAAGGAAAGGGAAGGAAGGAGGGAAGAAGGAAGGAAAGGGAAGGAAGGAAGGGAAGGAAGAAGGAAAGAAGGAGGGAAGAAGGAAGGTAGGAAGGGAGGGAGGAAGGGAGGGAAGGAAGGAAGGAGGGAGGGAGGGAGGGAAGGAAGGATGGAAGAAGAAAGGAAGGAAGGATGGGAAGGAAGGAAGGAAGGAAGAAGAAAGGAAGGAAGGATGGGAAGGAAGGAAGGAAGGAAGGAAGGAAGGAAGGAAGGAAGAAGGGAAGAAGGAGGGAAGAAGGAAGGAAGGAAGAAGGAAGGGAGGGAGGGAGGGAGGAAGGGAAGGAAGGAAGGAAGGAGGGAAGGAAGGAAGGAAGAAGAAAGGAAGGAAGGATGGGAAGGAAGAAAGGAAGTAAGGAAGGAGAGGGAAAGAAAGAGGGAGGGAGGAGAGGCAGCTGCTCAGAGATAGTAGAATGCTAGAAGGTTCCAGACATTCAGCTGGGCTAGGGTGGTGCCTATTGTCTAAGTGTCCAAGGCGTGGATCCCGCCAGGCAAGCGTGACCCACTGGGCCGGCGCTCGAGTCCTCCTTCCACAGGAGGATGAAGAGGGATGAAGAGGACAGTGCTGGGATGAAGGCCGGGCCCTGCTCTCTCGGGCACTTCCCGAACTTTAACTCTTCTCTGCTAAGCAAACAGCCCTGGGCCCCACTCTTTGCTTAACCCCGGGGCTGGTCATCAGCCTTTGACCCCCACCCCCATCCCCCACCCCAGTTTCTGGAACCTCAGTCAGTTTGCCGCGGACCGTCCACTCTCTCGCCCTGCGGAGTACCAGGAGCCATGACTTCCGGCGGGCTGGGGGGCCAGACCAGGGCTTCTGCGGCCAGGTAAGAGTGGGCGGCCGTCGGGGGGACCAGAAGCATGACCCAACTCCTTGGCCAAGCCTGAGCCCCCCCATAAGCCCCCCCAGTATCTCCTGCGCCTTCTCAGCCCCTCTTGAGGGAGGCCGTTCCCTCTGCCTCACTTCAGGTTCTTGGGCCCAGCAACCAAGTAAGGGGTGCCCCCCATTGGAAAAATGCCCAGTGCCGGCCTCCGGGGAGACCCCCGTTCCCAGGCCTGCCCCGTGTCTGAGGGGAGAGGGTTGAACCCAGGTTTCTCGCAGCCCCAGACCACCTCAGGCGTCCAGAGACCCGCTGTTGCCTGGCCCCCTCCCTCCACCCCACTGTCCCTTTCTTCTGTGGGTGCTGGGGGTCTCTAAAACTAGACGTGGGACTTTGGCTTGCTTTTTTTTTTTTTTTTTTTGCTTTTTGGGTCCCACCCGGCGATGCTCAGGGGTTCCTCCTGGCTCTGCACTCAGGAATCCCTCCTGGCGTTACTCGGGGGACCCTATGGGATGCTGGGAATCGAATCCGGGTCTGCCGCATGCAAGGCAAACACCCTCCCCGCTGTGCTATCATTCCAGCCCCTGGTTCGCTTTTTCTTTTCCCTTAAAAATTTTTTTTCTTGGGGCTGGAGCGATAGTACAGCGGGGAAGGGCGTTTGCCATGCATACGGCTGACCTGGGTTTGATCCCCAGCATCCCCTAGGGTCCCCCGAGCACCGCCAGGAGAGATTCCTGAGTGCAGAGCCAGGAGTCAGCCCTGAGCATCGCTGGGTGGGACCCAAAAAGCAAAAAAAAGGAAACTCGGTACTGAAAAGGGGTGGGGGGTGGGGGGTGGGGCTAAGTTAGGGAAGGAACATTAGGACGGAGTCACAGAGGAAGGAGGAAAACTGGACACGGTCGAGGTGTTGGGACAGTGAACGCCTGAAACTCAATCATGAATGTCTTTGTCGCTCTGTAATTCAATAAAAGTTTTTTTTCTTCTCTCTTTCCTTTTGGGCATTATGGTTTGCATTACAGACCCTGAAAGGTTATCCTGTCTATCCCCTTATGTCCTTTCAGTGCTCGGTTGTTCAGATTGATCATTTTCAACTATTGCTGCCAGAGTGTCCCCTCTCGATCCTAACTGTCCCCAGCCCCACACACCCATTGACCAATCCTCCTGGGCCCTGTTTTCCCAGGCTTCAGTTATTAGTACTGATAGCACAGCAGATAGGGCTTTTGCTTTGCATGCGGCCAACCCGGGTTCGATTGCTCCATCCCTCTCGGAGAGCCCGGCAAGCTACGGAGAGTATCCCGCCCTCACAGCAGAGCCTGGCAAGCTCCCCGTGGTGTATTCAATGTGCCCAAAACAGTCACAACAAGTCTCACCATGGAGATGCTACTGGTGCCCGCTCAAGCAAATTGATGAACGGGAAGGACAGTGCTACAGTGGACAGTACTACTTTTTAAAAATTAAAAAAAAATTAAATATAAGCCTATAACTGTACCTCATGGTGTTTCACTAATTAAAAAAGAAAAAAAATTTAAATATATTAAAGAAAATTTTTTTTCTTTTTGGGTCACACCCAGCAATGCTCAGGGGTTCCTCCTGGCTCTGCACTCAGGAATCTCTCCTGGCGGTGCTTGGGAGACCCTAGGGGTTGCCAGGGATCGAACCCTGGTCAGCCACATGCAATTGAAACGCCCTCCCCACTGTGCTATTGCTCCGGCCCTTCTGAGCAGCTTATATAGGGTTTGGTTACATAACAGCATTTTTCTAGGAACCAACAATATGTTTCCAATTCTGGTCAGTCTGATCCATGACTCCAGGGACCAACACTATGTTTCCAATTCATTTTTTTTCTTTTCGGGTCACACCCAGCAATGCCCAGGGGTTACTCCAGCCTTCGAACTCAGGAATCCCTCCTGGCGGTGCTCAGGGGACAATATGGGATGTTGGGAATCGAACCTGGGTCAGCTTCGTGCCAGGCCAACACCCTCCCCGTTGTGCTATCACGCAGACCCCCCACCGAGTTTCCTTTTGAAGACTAGTTTGGCTTTCCAAACTTCACAGAGCTCTGGGGCCCAAGGGCTATGGCCAGAGTTCTCTCCCTCCCTCTTCACCTCTGTTTCTCCCTTGCCACTACTGTTCCCCCGTCCCACCCCACACACACACCATCCCCACACCACCCCCTGGCCCCCCCCTCACCCCTCAAATCCCAGCCCCACCTCCCTGCATCTGTTCCTGAGAATCTACAGGCTCAGGTCAGCCCTGCCCTTTCCCCTCCATCCAGCTCCCCTCCCCCCACCCCTGCCCCACTGATGGTCCCCTTGACTCTATTATATGGTGGTCTGTCCTCTGGGGAAGGGGCAGGTGGAGGAGCCTCGAGGGACCCCGTTGGGACGCCCCTTCAGTCTGCACAGAGACCTCCAGAAATGGCGCCAGGGCACTGGAGCGATAGCACAGCGGGGAGGGCGTTTGCCTTGCACGTGGCCGACCCGGGCTCGATCCCCAGCATCCCATAGGGTCCCCCAAGCACCGCCAGGAGTGATTCCTGAGTGCAGAGCCAGAAATAACCCCTGAGCATCGCTGGGTGTGATCCAAAATAAGCAAAAAAAAAAAAAAAATGGCGCCGGCCTGGGTCTCTAACTTTGTTTCATCAGCTCCTTGGTTTTTTTTTCCTTTTGGGGCTGCATCTGGCAGTGCTCAGGGGTTGTTACTCCTGCTCTGAAATCACCAGGGAGGTGCTAGGGTGACCATATGGGGTGCTGCAGGTCAATTCTCGGGGGGGTGTGTAAGGCCAACACCTACCTACTGTACTAGGGGGCATTCCTGACTCTGCTCAGGGGTTACTCCTGGCTCTTTGCTCGGGGACCATCCTGACAGGGTGCTGGGAATTGAATCCCAGTCAACTGCATCCAAGGCAAGGACCTACCCCTGGTACTGTTGCTCTGCCCCAAAAGTATAAAATGTCTTTTTTTGTGTGTTTTTGTTGGTGCCATTTTAGTTTTTTGGTTTTTGTGGGGGTTTTTTCCTTTTTTTTTTTTGCTTTTGGGGTCCCACTCGGCGATGCACAGGGGTTCCTCCTGGCTCTGCACTCAGGAATCACTCCTGGCGGTGCTCACGGGACCCTATGGGATGCTGGGAATCGAACCCGGGTCAGCCGTGTGCAAGGCAAACGCCCTCCCCACTGTGCCATCGCTCCAGCCTCTGTTTTAGTTTTTGAGTCATACCCAGTGGTGCTCAGGGCTGACTCCTGGCTCTGCACTCAGGGATCACTCCTGGTGGGGCTCAGGAAGCCATATGGGATGCCAGAGATCGAACCCGGATCGGCCAGGTGCAAGGCCAGCGCCCTCCCCACTGCATTATAGCTCTGGCTCCTGCTTCTAATTTACCGGGCGCCTGATCTCCTTGTTTGAAAAGTGAGGTTGGTTTCAATTCTCTTTAGTGAACCCTGGGCAGAAGCTATTAAAGCTTCCAAGCAACAAAAACGTCCTGCAGGGGCCTGGACTCAGGCCAGGGAAAAAGCAAAAATAATAATAATAATAATAATAATAATAATAGAATTAATAGAATTGGGGCTAGGGGCTGGAGCGATAGTACAGCGGGGAGGGCGTCTGCCTTGCATGCAGCCAACCCAGGTTCGATCCCCGGCATCCCATAGGGTCCCCCGGGCATCACCAGGAATGATTCCTGAGTGCAGAGCCAGGAGGAACCCCTGACTATTGCCACGTGGGACCCAAAGGCAAAAAAAACGAAATAAAATAGAGTTGCGGCTTGTCTGGGTCCTAGTATGGGCTGTCACAGGGTGAGGGGTGGGGGGAAGGAAACTGGCCGGTCAGTCAAGTGTCTGGAATCAGTGACCAGGGGCTAGAACCAGATTGAGTTCCCCCCCCCAGGGTTTTTTTTTTGTATGTTTGTTTGGTTATTTTATTTTTATTATTTTATTATTATTTTGGGGCTGGAGCGATAGCACAGCGGTAGGGCATTCGCCTTACAAGCAGCCAACATGGTCGACCCGAGTTCGATTCCTCCATCCCTCTCGGAGAGCCCGGCAAGCTACCGAGAGGATCTCGCCGGCACAGCAGAGCCTGGCAAGCTCCCCGTGACGTATTCGATATGCCAGACACAGTAACAACAAAGTCTCCAATGGAGACGTTACTGGGCCCGCTCGAGCAAATCGACGATCAACGGGAGGGCCTTTACCTTTTATTATTATTTTATTTTTTTCTTTTTGGGGGGGTCACACCCAGCGATGCTCAGGGGTTCCTCCTGGCTCTGCACTCAGGAATCACTCCTGGCGGTGCTCGCGGGACCCTATGGGATGCTGGGGATCGAACCTGGGTTGGCCACGTGCCCGGGTAAACACCCTACCTGCTATACTATCGCTCTGGCCCCTATAAGGGGCTTTCTATAAGGTCCGCCAGGCTCAATTTCTTGGGAAAGGAAGAATATCAACTATTCTTCCAGAACTTGGGTGGGCGACCATGGTAGAAACTTCTTACTATTTTCTCCCCACTTTTTTGTTTGATTAGTTGGGAACCATACTGGCTCTGTGCTCAGAAATCACTCCTGGCAGTGCTCGGGAGACCCTATGGGATGTTGGAAATCGAACCCGGGTCAACTGCGTGCAAGGCAAACGCCCCCCCCCCCCCCGCTGTACTGTTGCTTCAGCCCCCACCCCCAGCTGTTTCTATTGACTGTTGACTTAACTGCAATCTAACAGTGCTTGGGACCACCGAGGCAGGAACTGGCCTGATCTGGGCCCCGCAGCCCTTAGCCAAGGTTTCAGCCCCGTTCTGTTTGTTGTTTTTATTTTGGGCACCACACCCCATGATGCTCAGGGGTTACTCTGTGCTCAGGAATCACTCCTGGCAGTGCCGGGGGTCCCTTTGGGATGCTAGGGATCAAACCCGGGTCGGCCATGTGCAAGGCAAATGCCCTGCCTGCTGGAATACCTCTGTGGCCAGTGACCCTATTTTGTTTTTTTTTTTTTGGTTTTGGGGTCACACCCGGCGATGCACAGGGGTTACTCCTGGCTCTGCAATCAGAAATCACTCTTGGCGGTGCTTGGGGGACCCTATGGGATGCTGGGAATCGAACCCGGGTCGGCCGCATACAAGGTAAACGTCCTCCTCGCGGTGCTATTGCTCCAGCCCCTGACCATGTTTTGGCCACACTCTCTCTCTCTCTCTCTCTCTCTCTCTCTCTCTCTCTCTCTCTCTCTCTCTCTCTTTCACTGGGCTGCAGAAAAACTTGAACACAGGGCTGGAGCGATAGGACAGTTAGAAGGGTGTTTGCCTTGCATCGCGGCCGACCCAGGTTCGATTCCCAGCATCGCATCGGGTCTCCTGAGCACCACCAGGAGTAATTCCTGAGTGCAGAGCCAGGAGGAACCCCTGAGCATCGCCGGGTGTGATCGCAAAAAAAAAAAAAAAAACTTGAACATCTGCAGAAGGACCCTGGAAACACACAGGGCTTAGCCACGGCTCTGGTACTGACGGTTCCCGTTCAGTCCCCAGCACCGCTGGGGTCCCCCAAGCCACCCCCGCCCCGAGTATCCCAGGCTGGGGTCCCCGTCTGGCACACTCTGCTCTCTGCCCGTCCAGGTGGGGCTGTCTTCTCTGGCTGCTCCTGGGCTGCTGGGGCCGCGTGCATGGCCACTGGACACCGGTGGAGGACATCTGCACGGCCAAGCCACGGGACCTCCCGGTGGACCCCATGTGCATCTACCGCTCCCCGGACAAGAAAGGGTTGGAGGAGGACAGCCAGCAAAAGCGGCTCCCCGAGGCCACCAACCGGCGCGTGTGGGAACTGTCCCGGGCCAATTCCCGCTTTGCCACCACCTTCTACCAGCACCTGGCCGACTCCAAAAACGACAACGACAACATTTTCCTGTCACCCCTAAGCATCTCTACGGCATTTGCCATGACCAAGCTGGGAGCCTGCGACAACACGCTCAAACAGCTGATGGAGGTGCCGCCCTTAAGCCCTTCCCGGGGTCCCCCTGTGGATTCTCTTCCGGCTTCCCCAGACCCACGCGGGAGGGGGGTGATGCTTGGGGGACCCCCCGGCAGTGCTGGGATTGACCCGGAGCCGTTGGCACCACGGCTAAGCCCTGCCTGTGCTGTTTCTTGGGGCCCTCCTGCAGGTGTTCAAGTTTGACACCATCTCAGAGAAGACCTCGGACCAGATCCACTTCTTCTTCGCCAAACTCAATTGCCGCCTATATCGCAAAGCCAACAAGTCCTCAGAGCTGGTGGCGGCCAACCGGCTCTTCGGGGAAAAGTCCCTGGCCTTCAACGAGACCTACCAGGACATCAGTGAGGTCGTGTACGGGGCCAAGCTCCAGCCACTGGACTTCAAGGTGAGCTCCTCTGAGGGGCTGGAGCGAAAGCACAGTGGGGAGGGTGTTTGCCAACCCAGGTTTGATCCCCAGCATCCCATAGGGTCCCCGGAGCACCACCAGGAGTGATTCCTGAGTGCAGAGCCAGGAGGAACCCCTGAGCATCGCCGGGTGTGTGACCCAAAAAAAGTCAAAAGAAGAAGAAAGAAAAATAGGGGCTGGAGTGATAGTACAGCAGGTAGGGCGTCTGCCTTGTGTGCAGCCAACCCCGGTTCGATTCCCAGCATCCCATAGGGTCCCCTGAGCACCGCCAGGAGTAATTCCTGAGTGCAGAGCCAGGAGGAACCCCTGAGCATTGCCGGGTGTGGCCCAAAAAGAGAACAAAGTTTAAAAAAAAAGTGAGCCCCTCCAGGCCATCAGAGCGAGGCCCGTGGGATCCCAAGAGCACCCTGCACCCAGAAGGCGGGATGTCCCTAGAGTCAGGAACCCTGGGCTGCTGTGGCCTTAGCCCTCACTTGGCTGCGGTTTCCATTGGCTCACAAGTCTCAGGTCCTTACAGCAGGACTCGGATGCAAGATTTGCTGGCCCCGGTGTGCAAAGGCCGGAGGATTCTGATTCATTTAGGCAGTAGATGATGTTCTGAAAAAGTTGTAGAAATCATAGTAATTCTTTTTTTCTTTTTGGATCAACCCCAGCGATGCTCAGGGGTTATTCCTGGGGACCCTATGGGATGCCGGGGACTGAACCTGGGTCTGCCGTGTGCGAGACAAATGCTCTCCCCTCTGTGCTATCACTCATGATCACGATCATCCTATTGTTCGTCGATTGCCTCGAGCAGGCACCAGTAACGTCTCCTTCGTCCCAGCCCTGAGATTTTAAAACATGCCATATTCAAGGCTCTTTCAGGGTTAGGAGAATGAGACCCATCATTGTTACTGGTATTTGGCATATTGGGGACGCCACGGGGTGTTTGCCAGACTCTGCCGTGTGGGCAGGTTACATTCGGTAGCCTGCCAGGTTGTCCAAAGTAAGAATGAGATAATAAGGTGTCGCGTGGCCTCGAATGCGGCCACGCACTTCCGGGAGCTGGGTTTTGTAGTCTCTGGGGCTTGGCCGTTGATGGGAGTACACGGCGCCAGGGGGTCGGTTGGTGGGTGTGACCCCTGCCTACTGGAAGATGGAGGATCTGGGTGGAGGATGCTCAGCCCCGATCCGAGCAGGCTTGGAGATCTCAGCCCCAGGACCCGCATGCCTTTGTTCCTCTGCCAGTACCTTCATGCGTGTGGAGAGTGGTCTCAGTATGGTGGTGGCTGGTTCTGGAGATCTTCGGCTGCTGGAGCTCTGCTCGGGGTGGGGAGGGAAACTCAACCTGCTCCCCTCCAAGGGGCTCCGGTGAGGACAGCCAGGCGCGGGGGCAGGAGACTTAGCGCTGTTCTCTTCCCGGAGCTGGGTTTTATAGTCTCTGGGTCTTGGCTGTTAATGGGATCACACTCTGGCCCAGTAATTCCTTACTCTTCATTGTCCACACTCAAAGGTGTCCTGAGGGGCTAGGGAAATGGCGAGGGGGTAGGGCACTAGCCTTGTGTGTGGTCCATTGGGTTCAATCACTGGCACCCTAGATGGTCCCCTGAGTACTACCAGACATGCATGAGTGTGGACCAAAGAAATAAAAAAAAATTAATTTTTTAAAAAAGAAAGTGATATCCTGAAGACAGGAAGGGCCAGTTCTTCTGGACCCTTAAACTCAATTTTTTTTGTTTGGTTTTTTGGATCCCTCCCTTGCTTGGGGCTGACTCCTGGCTCTCTGCTCAGGGATCACTCCTGACAGTGCTCAGGGAACCATAAGGGATGCCGAGAGTTGAACCCAGGTCAGCCCCAGGCAAGGCGAGCAACATGCCTGCTGTGCTCTCTCTCTGGCCCCTTAAAGCTCAGTTTTTGCCTTGATTTGTTTTAGGAGCCCCTGTGGTGCTCGGGGGCTCCGCCTGGCTCCTACCCCATCAGGTACAGACAGAGACAGAGACAAGGAAAAGGGACGAAATAGGAGAAGTAGGACTGGAGCGATAGCACAGTGGGGAGGGTGTTTGCCTTGCACGTGGCTGACCCAGGTTCGTTTCCCAGCATCCATAGGGTCCCCTGAGCACTGCCAGGAGCGATTCCTGAGTGCAGAGCCAGGAGGAACCCCCGTGCATCGCCGGGTATGACGCAAAAAAAAAAAGATATAGAAGAAGTTTTTTGGGGTGTGCTTGTCAGCCCCGTCAAGGTGGGGAGGAGCCTCACTTGGGAGACAATAAGCAGGATTTTAAGTTGTCTTGGGCAAGAAAGGGATCAGAGACCATCGGGACCAGAGTGCTTGGTGGCCTTGTGTTGTGGCCTTGTGTTGCCTGTCGGGGTGATGAGAGGAAGTTTAAAGGCAGCATGGTGGCTTCCTGTCCTGGTGGGCCATCAGCCCTGTCCTCCGTGCTGGGGGCAGGGTCATCTCTGATTTGGGGAATTCTGTCTTGTCAGCTGGCCGCCATTTGGTCTGAGCAAACCTCAGTTTCCTCTTTGTGTTCATATTTCTATGTCTTCCTTTCTGGTCCCTTCTTCTGTGCTCTTTCTCTTTCTTTTTTGGCTTTTTGGGTCACACCCGGCGATACTCAGGGGTTCCTCCTGGCTCTGCACTCAGGAATCACTCCTGGCGGTGCTCGGGGGAACATATGGGATGCTGGGAATCGAACCCGGGTGAGCTGCATGCAGGGCAAACACCCTACCTGCTGTGCTATTGCTCCGGCCCCTCTTTCTCATATTTTTTTGGGGAGGGCCACACCCGGCGATGCTCAGGGGTTCCTCCTGGCTCTGCACTCAGGAATCACTCCTGGCGGTGCTCAGGGGACCCTATGGGATGCTGGGAATCGAACCCGGGTCGACTGTGTGCAAGGCAAACACCCTCCCCGCTGTGCTATCGCTCCAGCCCCTCCTTCTCTTTCTTTTGTTTCCCTTCATGTAGTCAGCATTCGCGAGGTCTGGGTGGTGGCGTGGCCAGACCCTGGTGGGTTTTAGCTTTCCTAACCACGTCAGCAGCAAGGCCTAAACAGCAGGTGGGAAAGAAACAAAATACAGGGGCCGGAGCGGTAGCATAGTGGGGAAGGCGTTTACCTTGCACGTGGCCGACCCAGGTTCGATTCCCAGCATCCCATATGGTCCCCCGAGCACCGCCAGGAGTGATTCCTGAGTGCAGAGCCAGGAGTCAGCCTTGAGCATCGCCGGGTGTGACCCAAAAAGAAAAACAAAAACAAACAAATAAAAAAAAGAAACAAAATACAAGCTGGAGGGGCCTGTGACCAGAGCACAGCGTGGAGGGCATTTGCCTTGCATGCGGCCGACCTGGGTTCCATCCCCGGCATCCCAGAGGGTTCCCGGAGCCATGCCAGGAGTGAGCCCTGAGCACAGCCAGGCCTGGTCCCCCAAGTCAATCAGTGAAGCCAGGAAGCAGAACCGCTGTGAGGGACCCACGCAGACGGGTAGCTTTGTCTCCCCAGGAAAACGCCAAGCAGGCCAGGGTGATCATTAATGACTGGATCTCCAACAAGACGGAGGGGCGGATCACGGACGTCATCCCGCCAGACGGCGTCAGCGATCTCACGGTGCTGGTGCTGGTCAACACCATTTACTTTAAGGTACGTTGCAGAGTCCCGAGACACCCCTAGTGACCACAGCTGGCCACCCGGGGAAATGTTCCGAGACCCCATGAGAAATGGTTTATGCGTGGTCTGGGTAGCCTCTTCCTGAGGGTCTGGAACCATCAGGGCACTGGCCACGGGGCTGACACACCCAGAGTGGCCTAGCCCAGAAGTGGCTGGAGGCTTCCGGCACAGTGCTCGCCCTCACACTCCCAGCACAGTGCTCGCCCTCACACTCCCCAATGCGTCCAACTCCAAGGAGGGCCTGGCGTGCTCACATTTTTCCACTCATTCATGCCACTCCCTCAGGGACCTGGGACAAAATGACCAAGTCAGGTCCTCTGTGGGGTTGGGGCGGGGGGGACTTTTCTCCACCCTCGGGGCAGTGCAAATGTTCGAGCCTCAACCTCTCCACCTCCAGCCCCTAGACTCAGCAGAGGGCCTGAGAGCTGCTGGCTTTGTCTAGACTCAAGAGTCCTGGGGCTGGGATGATAGCACAGCGGGGAGGGCATCCACCTTGCACGTGGCCGACCCGGTTTCGATCCCCGACATCCCACAGAGTCCTGAGCCCCGCCAAGAGTGATTCCTGAGTGCAGAGCCAGGAGCGGCCCCTGGGCATCACTGGGTGTGACCCAAAAAGCCAAAATAAATAAATAAACAAGAGTCCTAAAGACTGTGGGGGAGAGACAGCACAGCGGGAGGCACTTACCTTGCACACAGCCAACCTGGGTTCAACCCCCGATAGGGTCCCTGAGCCCCACCAGGAGTGATTCCTGAGTGCAGAGCCAGGAGGAACCCCTGAGCCTCTCTGGGTGGAAGCCGAAAAGAAGAAAAGCTGACAGCTGGGGTCAGAGCCATAGCACAGTGGGGCGGATGGTGGCATCACCTGTGGCCCCCCAGGTTCCATCCAGGCATCCCATAGGGTCCACTGAGCTAGGAGTCAGCCCCAAGCACTGCCGGATTTAGTCCCCCCCCCCGCCCCAAACAAAACACACACAGTTGTTTCCACCGATTGGGGGCAGGGGGCACATAAAGCCACAGGCCCCCAAAGCTGATGCCAGTTCTGAGGTTTGACTGGCCTGGCCCGCTTCCTCCTGCCTGGACCTTGGCTCTCACCGGCTGTCCAGGCGTCCCGCTGACCAGCCCCTGCCCGCAGGGCCTGTGGAAATCCCGGTTCAGCGCCGAGAACACGCGGCGGGAGCTCTTCCACCGGGCGGACGGGCAGACCTGCAGCGTGTCCATGATGTACCAGGAGGGCAAGTTCCGCTACCGGCGCGTGGCCGAGGGCACACAGGTGCTGGAGCTGCCCTTCAAGGGCGACGACATCACCATGGTGCTCGTCCTGCCCAAGCCCGAGAAGAGCCTGGCCAGGGTGGAGCGGGAGCTCAGCCCCGAGCTGCTGCAGGAGTGGCTGGATGCCGTGGACGAGACGCTGCTCACCGTGCACCTGCCCCGCTTCCGCATCGAGGACAGCTTCAGTGTCAAGGAGCAGCTGCAGGACATGGGGCTGGTAGACCTCTTCAGCCCCGACAGCTCCAGGCTCCCTGGTGAGAGGGGGGACTCTCCTCTTGTACACGAGGGCTTGTACACGGGGGCTTGTACATGGGGATTGTACATGAGGGCTTGTACAAGGGGGCTTGTACACAGTGGCTTGTACATGAGGGCTTGTACATGGCTTGTACATGCGAACTTGTACATGGAGGCTTGTACATGGAGGATTTTACATGGGGGCTTGTACGGGGGTTTGTACACAGTGGCTTGTACAGAGGGGCTTGTACATAGGGGCTTGTACACGGGGGATTGTACATGAGGGCTTGTACACAAGAGGCCAAGCGACAGCACAGCGACATGGCTTGTACACAGGGGCTTGTACATGAGGGCCTGTACACAGGGGCTTGTACACAGTGGCTTGTACATGAGGGCTTGTACATGGCTTGTACACGAGGGCTTGTACATGGGGATTGTACATGAGGGCTTGTACACGGGGGCCTGTACACAGTGGCTTGTACATGAGGGCTTGTACATGGCTTATACATGCGGACTTGTACATGGAGGCTTGTACACAGGGGCTTGTACAGGGGCGCTTGTACATGGGAGCTTGTACACGGGGGCTTGTACACAGAGGTTTGTACACGAGGCTTTGTACACAGGGTCTTGTACATGGGGGCTTATACACGGGGGCTTGTACATGGAGGCTTGTACATGGGGACTTGTACACGGGGCTTGTACATGGGGGATTGTACATGAGGGCTTGTACATGAGAGACCAACGGACAGCACAGCGGGGACAGTGCGGGCCTTGCACACAGCCCACCTGGGTTCTGTCCCCAGTGCTCTAGGCCCTGCCAAGTGAGGCCCCAATCCGAAAGAAACAAGGGGCTGGGGGGAGTTGGCCTGGCATGTGGCTGACCCAGGTGGAACCCCTGGCACCCCAGTAGGGTCCCCGGAGCCCTGCCAGGAGTGATCCCTGAGCACAAAGCCAGGGGTCAGCCCTGAGCATCTCCAGGTGTGACCCCTGAATCAAAATGTTATTGTTTTTGTTTTTGGGGTCATACACAGTGATGGTCAGGGCTGACACCTGACTCAGGAATTACCCCTGGTGATGCTCGAGGGACCCTATGGGATGCGGGGGATCGAACCCAGGTCAGCACATGCAAAGCGAACACCCTCCCCACTGTGCTATTGCTCCAGGCCCTGAATCAAATTTTTAAAAAGTATTTTTTTTACATTGAAATATTTAATTTACGAGGAGCTGGAACGATAGTACAACAGGTAAGGCATTTACCTTGCACATGGCCGACCCGGGTTTGATTTCCAGCATCTCATATGGTCCCCTGAGCACCGCCACGAGTAATTCCTGAGTGCAGAGCCAGGAGTAATCTCTGTGCATCATCGGGTGTGACCACCCCCTCACCCCCCAAAAAAAGCAAAAAAAAATCCAATTTACTTAACAATATTGTTTATTTCTGCTGTGCCTGGGATTGGACTGTGTGTGTGTGTGTGTGTGTGTGCACGCGCAGGGAGTAAGAGTGGGGTAAGGCACTTACACAAACAAGGCCAGCACTCTACTACTAAGTTCACTGAATTACCATTTTGGTCCTAAAATAGCTCTTAGAAATAAAAATTGGGGAGCAGGGGCCAGAACTGTAGCACAGCGGGGAGGGTGTTGGCCTTGCACGCGGTCGACCTGGGTTGGATTCCCAGCATCCTATAGGGTCCCCTGAGCACTGCCAGGAGAAATTCCTGAGCGCAGAACCAGGAGGAACCCCTGAGCATCACCGGGTGCGATCCCAAAAAAAGCAAAAAAAAAAAAAAAGGGGTGGGGGTACTGAGAGATAGCACCAAGCTCTCACCTGGCTCCCAGTCGAGCGGGTTCAGTCCTGGGCACTGCTCCCTCAAGCACCCTCGGGGTGACCCCTGAGCACTACTAGGAGTGATGCAAAACCAGAACAAGACCCTCGGCCCCCACTTCACAGAACCCCCTCTGGCCTTCTAGGAATTGTCTCCGGCGGCCGCACTGACCTCTACGTGTCCGACGCGTACCACAAGGCGTTTCTCGAGGTGAGGCCCCGCCCCACTGCTCCTTGTCTCCGCTGCTTCCCACTGAGGTGGTGCCGGGTGATTCTTCCCCTCCACGCCTCATCTGATCTGTGACTTCGGGGTTCCTGTCCCATGGGTCCTTTGGGTATAGCCCAGTGGAGGTTGGCTCCATGGGATACAATATCTGGTGTCCCTCCGATCCCAGTCTGCTGTCCTGGCTCCCAGGAGGCCCCCCATGAGAGTGCCCGTCCTGAAGTCCCCTTGGGGAGGGTCTCTTCATTCCTCCCACAGCCGCTGCCAGCGCAGCTCAGGCAAGAAAAGACATGATGGGGGCTGGAGCGATAGCCCAGCAGGGAGGGCGCTGGCCTTGCACGCGGCCGACCCGGGTTCGATCCCCGGCATCCCAGAGGGTCCCCTGAGCACTGCCAGGAGTGATTCCTGAGTGCAGAGCCAGGAGTCAGCCCTGAGCATCGCCACATCGCCAGGTGTGACCCAAAAAGAAAAAAGACACAGATGGGCGTGAACAAAGGAGAAGTAGGGAAGGGCCTAGGGGCATGCGGCCAAGAACCAGGCTAGAGCCTTGCGTCCCGCTGAACATTAGAATCCCCAGCACTGTGGAGGGTCCCCCAGGCACTGGCAGGAGTGACCCCCTCCCCCTGAGCACCAGCCAACTCTGATGAACAAAGTCGCCTTATTTATTTATTCTTTTTGGGCCACACCCGGCAGCACTCAGGAGTCACTCCTGGCGGTGCTCGGGGGACCCTATGGGATGCCAGGTCAGCCGCGTGCCAGGCAAATAAATGCCCTCCCCGCTGTGCTATCGCTCCAGCCCCACGAGGGGCGGTCTTGATGCCCGTCTCCCCGCAGGTGAACGAGGAAGGCAGCGAAGCCGCCGCCAGCACGGTCATCACTATCGCCGGCCGCTCGCTGAACCCCAACCGGGTGACCTTCAAGGCCAACAGGCCCTTCCTTGTGCTCATCAGGGAAGTGGCTCTCAACACCATCGTCTTCATGGGCAGGGTCGCCAACCCCTGCGTGGACTGATGTGTTCTCTGTTGCCTCCTCCAATGTCATGTGTGAACAGAAGTCAAAATAAACTCAGGCGCGCCCGCCTTCGTACGAAAGGACCGGGTCACCGGCCGGGAGGACGCGGGAAAGAGAATTCTTAGACGCTCTTGGGCATTTGGTAAAATGATGCTTTCAGTTTTGTTGCCGTTTTTTTTTTGTGTGTGTGTGTGTCCCGCCCCCCCTCCCCGCCAGTGTATACACATGAGAGTGAAGAAAGTGAGAGAGGGGCTGGCCTTGCACGTGGCCGACCCGAGTTTGATTCCCAGCATCCCATAGGGTCCCCTGAGCACCGCCAGGAGTGATTCCTGAGTGCAGGGCCAGGAGTCAGCCCTGAGCATCGCTGGAGTGACCCAAAAAGACCAAAAAAAAAAGGGAGAGAGAGAGAGAGAAAGGAAAGAGAGGAAAGAAAAAAAGAAAGAGAGAATGAAAGAAAAGAAAAAAGAAAAAAGAGAAAAAGAAAGAAAGAAAGAAAGAAAGAAAGAAAGAAAGAAAGAAAGAAAGAAAGAAAGAGAGGGGCTGGAGCAATAGCACAGCGGGTAGGGCGTTTGCCTTGCATGTGGCCAACCCGGGTTTGATCCCCAGCATCCCATAGGGTCCCCCAAGCACCGCCAGGAGTGATTCCTGAGTGCAGAGCCAGGAGGAACCCCTGAGCATCGCTGGGTGTGACCCAAAAAGCAAAGAGAGAAAAAAGAAAGTGAGAATTTATGCTTCATCTTGAAAGATGGTCCAGTGGGGCATGTAGGAACCCCCGAGTTCTCCATCCCTGTCCCTTCATGTCCCCCCATCCCCATCCCCAAACACTGCTGGTGTGTCCTCCCCACCAAGAAAATAACAAGGCACCCCAACAGGCAGGGGAAAGCCCCATCACCCCTCATGTTACGAACACCCCAAATTTCCCCACGAATTCACCCCCCTACGAACAGCGAAGACGGACTCAGGTCTGAGTATTAAACCATTTATTCTCAAACCACTCACATGCATAATGTTCTTTTACACAGTGTTAAAATAAAGCGGAGGATGTCTTTTTTTATACAAACAAGAATTTCAAGTATACATTAATAGACTTTTTTTTTGTTTTTCTCAGGTGACTAACCGGGGTTTGCTAAGATTTCATTCACATTGTTCTTAAAGCTGTTCGACGAGGAAGCTTTTGCTAAACAGTTTTAAATATGTTTTCTATAAACCCTTCTCTTCACTCTTGGTCGGGGCTCTCACCCCCCTGCCCCGTCTCTCACCCATCCCCTAGCCCTCCCCCACCCCCCATGCTAGTCGGGGCTCTGGGCTCTGAGACATGCAACCCCCAAGAACTACTGGCTTGTTTTCAGGGGATGGAGAGACCCACCGGGCGGGCGGAGAGAGGCGAGAGCCTGTGAAATGACAAGGGCAGGAATCCCACGCTCAGCGGGGCACCAGCGCCTGCTCTTAGAAACTCAGAAATTCAGTGTTTTCACCTGACTTCATCATACAAAAAAAAAAAAAAAAACCACCTCGGCCCCCCTCCCCTGGCCCGTGCCAAGGAACCTAGAAGCTTCTGACAGTTTGGTAGAAACCCGAACTGGCTCTGATCCCCGCTGAAACTTCCCAAGTCCCTGGCGACAGCCTGTACTTTGGTTCCTTGGATGTCGGGTCTCGCGTTGTTTAATTTTCTCCCTCCGGGCCGGGGTTTTTAATGATGGAACCTGGTTCATTTCACAGGACCCAGCGAGTCCTTCTCCCTCCTTTTTCTCCTCCTGAACTTCACCCTGGCCTTCGCGTGGGCCAGGAACAGCCACTTCTCCTTAGGAATTAAAGTGCATTTTTTTCTTTTTTTTTCTCTTTTTTTCTTTTCTTCAGTAAAAGATGGGGGTGTGGGGGGGTAGGCGGGAAATGTGGTTTACACTTAAGTGATGATTAAAAAGAGGTGATGGGCAGGGTGAGGGAGAGAAAATCCTATTCCTATATATATATAGGTATTTATAATTAAGGTCATAATAAAAAGATACTCTCGGGGTATCAGAGGAACAGACCCAGCCCGGAGGAACCCCAAGGGGGCAAGAGCGCTTTCCTGGCCCCTGGGTACCCAGGAGGAATCTGATGAATGGAGAAGTTGCTTTAGATAAAAAACACAAACCTCCAAAACAATTTTTTCCCAAAGGGGTTGGGGGAAACGTTAAAAACTCTCTCATTCCCTTTCAGGGGTACCGACGCTTTAGAAAGTGATTGTCTGTTTTTTACTATGAATCCTTAGCAAATTGTCGGGTTAAAAAAATGTTCAGAAAGCTTTCGGGGCCCTCCGACAAAGGAGGCTTCATCACTGCTGGGGGCGGGGAACCCATGGCGGATGGAGGAAAATGATGCTTTTCTCAGAACCTCTTTTTTTTCTCCTCCCCCCACGGCTTTCTTTTGAAACGCTTGCTTTCCTGGGGGGTGGGGGGGGCGATGCCAGGGTTTCCCAAAGAGAAGGAAAAAATGCTACATGATCAGCTGGATGGAGTGTCAGGCATGGGAGGAGGAAGGGGCAGTGGGGAACTGATTTCTGGGCTGAGTCTAGTGCAATCTGCTTTTTTCACAGTGGCCAGTGGGAAGGCATGAGGCCAGGGCCAGGCCGAGGGGGGAAGACGGCTGCCCCCCTCCACGCACCGGCCGTGGAAGCACCATAGAAGACAGTGAGCAGATTGTTTTTCAGACTGACCGTGTGCAGAGAACCCAGTCTCAACCCCAGTGACCTGGTGTCCCCCCTTCCTGCGCCCTCCTAAGTGCTCTTCTGCAGTCTCCCGTACCCGCACTCATGCTGACATGGCGCAGGCTGGGAGGGTTCCCCGGGGACAAGCCGCCGCTTGGTGGCAGCCTCGCCCCTCCGCCAGGACACGGACCCATTGCTTCTGCCCGCACCGCTGAGGCAGGGAGAGGTGGAGGGGCGGGGTGCCCAGCACCTGTTGAGTGTTGAGCCGGGCCAGAAAGGGGGTTTCACAGAGGTTTGTCTGCAGGCCGGGAGGACCCGCTGACTTCACAGTGCTGACCAAGAAGGCCACGGAGGGGGTGGGGGAGAACCAGCGCTGAGGACGCCCCCCTCCCGCCCCCTCCAGTCCCGGCCCCCCACCTTCCGTTCCAGTGCGGCGAGCTGCGCTAAGTCCGACTGGGTTTCACAGTACTGTAGAATGTTCTCTCTGGATGCTCTCGGGTCCTACAGAAAAGCTATCGCTTCTCGACTCCTCCCGGTCCGGGGAACCCCTGGAACATTCTAAGGCATCAGAGGCATTTTTCACCAGCTGGTGAGGAAACCAACAGGCAGCCCTCCCGAGGGGAGTTCGGTTTCCTAGCCGGGTGCTGATGCAGGTCCCACTCACTAAGTCATCCTGCCCTCATATTTACTTATTTTTTTCCTTTTTTTTTTTTTTGCTCCTCCTACACACCAACGATTTCAAATGCAAATGCTCAACTCTGTAGGCTAAGTGTGTGTGTGTGTGTGTGTGTGTGTGGGGGGGGGGGTTGTCCCAACCATGATCCGACGCTCTCAGAAGACAAAGTGCTCTAAGTTTACCCAGGACACACAGTAGCTTTCTGGAAATTAGGAATCAGGTGGCAGCTAGTTGCTCCTGGTTCTTGGTACCATCTGGTCCCTGCCAGGGATCGAGCCCAGGTCCTCTGTATGCAAAGCATGTGCTCCCTTGCTCTGAGCTCTCTCCCTGGTCCTTAGTGCTCACTTTTTTCTCCTTCTTTTTTTTTTTGGGGGGGGCACACCCGGCTGTGCTCAGGACTTACTCCTGGCTCTGCGCTCAGGAATCACTCTTGGCAGGCTTGGGGGACCCTATGGGATGCCGAGGATCGAACCCGGGTGACCCACGTGCAAGAAAAATCACCTTCCCTTCCCCGTTATCTACATGTGTGAGAAGAACGAGAGATCTAGAATCTGGATTGGAAATTACCGTCTGGGATGTTCACGGACAAAGATGCTAACACGGGCTCTTTCACGTTCAGGGATACCGAAGACGCTTTAGTGAGTGCATTTTCAGTCACGTGGAACCCGTGGAACCCAGAGAAGGGAAGTCACTAGCCACTTCAAAGAAGACAGCCGGAGGGACAAAGAATTTCAAGTAGCACCCCAGGGGAAGCGCCTTCTTTTTCTCCATTAGCAAAGCTGCCGGCTTAGGTGAGAGCAGAAAACCCCCCGGCGCAGGACTCTCCTTAATCAACTCAAGTGCTCTATTTGCCACCGGCAGAGCTGAGGCAACAGACAAGAGGGTTCTTCACAAGGCAGCCCTGGGAAGTTCTGGCTTTGCTTGCCAATCCTTGGCGTCTCGGGGTCAGCTGTGTAACTGGGGTCCAACGATGGGACGACAGAAGAAAGCGAAAGGACCAGGCGAGGTCCAAGAGAGCGACTGGACCTTGGAATCAGCCGAGGGGGCCGAGCTACACAGTGGACTGTGAAATGAGAACATCTGGAGGCCCCCTGGGGTCCTAGCGCACAGTCAGACAGGCAAGGACCAGTCGCCTTCACCCGAACCGGGGGAAGAGAGAGGTTCCAGGCTTCTTACCCGATTCCTAGCTGTCCCCTGCCTTGGGGACAATTCCTCACCTTCTGGTTTGTTTCATCATTACAGGTTTTTTGGGGGGTGGCGGGGTACATCCATTGGTGCTAGGGGCTACCCCTGGCTCTATGCTCCGGTGCTGCGGACTGATCAGACAATGAAGTGCCTAGAACCCCTGCTTATCTCCCCAACCTGTGGCTCGCTTCATTTTGCAGTCAATCAGGTAGGCTCGTCATGAACTGTGACACCGAGTGATGTAGGTGGGGCCAGACAGTCAAGCCCAAGGCCCAGGGTGAGGTCTCGGCGCAAATGTCACCTAAGCCGGAGGGAGAATATCCCTAAGCAGGGGCACCTTCCTGAGTGTCGGACAGGCCGACAGCTGGTCCGCAGCGAGTGGCCTCCCCGCGGCTGACCGCCTTGGGCTGCGGGTTCCACCCTGGAGCGGGACCACAGCTTTCCTGACCCGTCCGAAACTTCACATTATCTATGACGCATGTGCCCTATGAGGTCCCGAGAAACAGTGACGGCTAATACCGGCGACTCCCGTTTAGACACGACAATCAGCCAGGCCGCAGGACAAGAAAGCGAGAAGGTCACTGCACTCCTTACTGAGTCAACGGCCCTTCC